ATGCTGCACTACCATCTTCGCCTCTGTTTCGGGGTTATGAACAAAACGCCCAAAAGCCTCAAAGAGGATTGTACTCAACAGTCGCAGTCGAGCGTGCGAGCTAACAAGACGGCCAGAGAAAGGAATGGAGCCAGTTTGGCTACCCAGTAGCAATAAGGACTTTTTAAGAATGAAAAAAATGTTTTTTGACTTGCATGATTCAAGAATCAACATTATACCCCTGTCTCGTAGAAATTAAAATTAAATTTTTAGTAAATTTTAATAAAAATTGATGAAATATGTGGTTGAAAAGTCGTGAATTCCATGAAATGCGTAGTTAAAATTAATTGTTGACTTTGACTTAACATTTTAATTTGAAATATGTATAAAACCTAATGATTTTTTAAATAATGGAAACTCCTAAGATGAATTTTGTAAACCACTTTTTATTCATATATTTCTTAGAATCAATAAGTATTGTTAACTTATCTACTACTCATTTTTTCCGATTTATAATTTAAATCTCTTATAAACAACTCCCAACCATGTTTTAAGTTTAATTTGCTATAATCTTACTATGAATAATTTTCATCTTTTTTTCCTCCTAGTTTCAAAGTAATATTTCAATATAGATTTTTATTTATTTTTCTACCAAACATTTTTTTCTTTTCTTTTCATCTCCACATTAACATTGACGAAATGGAATTGAGGATGAAAAAAATAATTTATATACGATTCACATATGTTTTGAATTCATCTTGCACGTGAGGGTACGGTGAAGATAAATTGAGCACATGTTTGGGAGCCATTTTTGGCCAAATGCAGAATATATTTTTGACCGTTTCAGTAGGTGGGACCCACAAATGTTGCACATGCTGCGAATTACCGAAATTGTCCTTTTTCAAAGATGTTTTTTTAAGGGACACATTAATAATTTGTCTGTAATTCAGTCAAAATATACAGCTCCTCTAACAAGCCCAATATAACGGCTAGGATTTTTCTAAAACTATAGTCCCTGTTTGACTCAAATTATTTGGCCAAAAGTATAAAAATTCTGACCGTTATTTTCAAAGAATTTGAATTTGTGTGAGATAAAAAAGTCAAAGATGGTGACCGATTTGATTGACAATGGTGCATTTTTTTCTACAAATGGAGCAAAAATGTGGAACAAACAAGCTGTATCACAAAATGCTCCCAAACGGGGGCTTAGTATCATAAAAACTTACTCGACTCAATCAGTACTATTGTAAGAGATGAAAATCAATCTGATTATTGCCTACAACTGCAATTTTATATTAACCATTGCCGATAGAATTGGTCAACACGTTTTCCAATGTGCAATTTTAAAAAATTGTGAGTTTTTTTTTTTTTAATCTTCGGTTCAATATTCACATTAGATTTTTTAAAACAAGACGAGATGATTTAACAAGTGAAAATTACGAGAAATCTTTATCTATTTTGTTTGGGAAATGTAATTCTTATCTCGAATTCAGTCTTATTCCCGACTTCTAGGCTTTCAGCCAAGTGCGTGTAGTTAGAAAGTTCCTTCATGTTCATTTGATAACCGGCTACATAAATTGAACTACTCGGTTTGATATCCTATCATTCACATTCTTACATGTCAATGTGGATAAGGGAAGATAAGGTTTCTAGCGCAACTCACCCAATGAGAATCCTGTGCCTCACATCTGAGAACCACAAATTTGTGTGCAAAAGATATTATTTGCAGAGTCATAAATTACACAAACAAACCCTCATTTCTTTATTATATACATTCTTGTTCTTGCTGTAACCAGACATTCATTCTGAGTTGTAGCACAAGTTTCAAATATGGCTACTGCTGCTTCAACAATGGCTAGCCAGCTCAAGAGCAATTTTGCTTCTTCCTTGACTAGAGGACTGGTTACTCCAAAGGGTATTTCTGGAGCTCCACTAAGAGTTCTGCCTTCCAGGAGAAACTCTTGCTTCACCATCAAAGCTGTTCAGTCTGAGAAGGTCAGAGGAATTATGCCTCGATTGAACAATCTCATCTAGAAATTTAACTTTTTTGATATGAGATACATATACATTTTTATCTACACATTTCATGGGATACAATACTATTCCTCCTAAAAATTTCCTAATAATTTTAGATGAGTAGAGAATTAGTCTTCAATATGCATAAATTTCACAACCATCTACACCTTACCGTAGCACCTTATCTAAAAGTTTAAACTGCAAGAGAAGAAGTTTGTGCCTCATTTGAATTAGAAAATTGTGGATGTCGAAATGCTGCTGAGATCTTTCAGTGAATTCGCCAAATTTCTTTTAAATACTGTAGTTTTATTGCAAACATACTCTTTATAACACATTTTGATAGGATCGAAAACTTGTTACCCTCTTATTATCTACACATTTTGTAGAACTTACAACTTATAAGTACTTTAAAAAATTTTAAGTTTGCCTATCGTGCACTAAACTTACCTGTACATAGAGATATACACTGGTTTCAATATCCCCTTACAAAGGCAGATAAATAGATAAATGAAGGGCTAGTTGATGTGATATGTATCTAACTGTATGTCATTGTTATTCATTATCGTCTAGTCGTTTTGAGTATTACGTATCAAATATGGAGTTTGATCTTCTTTAACCTTGACACAGCCTACTTACCAAGTGATTCAACCCATCAATGGTGATCCATTCATTGGAAGCCTTGAGACCCCAGTGACATCAAGCCCATTGATTGCTTGGTACCTGTCCAACCTCCCGGCCTACCGGACCGCAGTCAACTCACTTCTCCGTGGAATTGAGGTCGGCCTTGCCCACGGCTTCCTCCTCGTCGGCCCGTTCGTGAAAACCGGCCCCCTCCGCAACACGCCTTATGCAGGTGGAGCTGGTTCTCTAGCAGCAGCAGGCCTTGTTGTGATCCTCAGTCTTTGCTTAACAATTTATGGGA